GTACGAAGCAATGGTGAAAATTTTCTTTCTCAAGGAATCAACGGGGTAGCAACGGGGTAGTTATTTTCTGAATACCTATTGAGATGGTAGTTATGGAAATGGGCTTTGTTAAATTATAGATTTTTTCATTGTTCCAACTCTTTATTAATTATTAGACATGAAGAAGTCCACTTTTAGACCTTCATGGCATAGATAGATGAATCTTCCAAACACATTTCTAGTAGCTCTCTATATACATGTACATTGAGTAAATAACCAAAATATATTCAACCGATCTTTAGTCTTTGTCACCATTTACCTGGTAAATTTATGAAATAGTTTCTCTCAGCAGTGAACTTGAAATAGTTCATTCAAAGTCTGAGAGATTGCTATTAGATATTTTAAATACAAATGAGATACCTGAGTGAGAAAATGGTCAATCTGTATGGATGTGACCTGGCTCTGTACTGGTGGCCTCTTTTAGGGTCATTAGTCCTGTTAGTTTTGTAAACGTCTATAGTAATGCAAAGCACACACTCTTACGGTAGATTTGCCCATAAAAGTTAACATATAATAAGAAACCATAAGAGAAGGGTAAATCTTAACCCCAAGGGTTATAATATTTAACTTTAGCAGAGGACAATAAGGTTATGCTTTTACAAGTTTTGGGCATTATAGTTTCTAAGTAATATATCTTTTGAATACAAGTTGCTTCCTTATATTAGAGAAAAAAATTAAATTAAATAAATAATCCATTATTACAGAAGTTCATAAGGCAAATTGATACAGCCAAACATTTGTGTTGGTTGGTTTTCACATCACGCCAACACAATAAAGAACATATGGAAATTTAAAGCTTTACTGGTGCATTATTTCAGACATAAAATATACAGACACTTTTTCTCTTGATTGTTTTCTATTACATGTATATTCAATTTATTTGAAAACAAAGTTTATTGTTCTTATTTTCTAACAAGATCAGACGTGAGCAGCATGTTCACAAATAATAATTTTATTTCGGGAAACAATTGTCAAATTGTACTAATTTACAATATGCAATCAAAATGCTGAAAGTTTGCCAATATCTAATTATCATATATTTTACGAGAAAAATACATTGACTTTCGGTCGAAAATAACATATATTCGCCGATAAAAAGCGTTAAACCTGTGTAATAATTCTGTACCATGTATGAAAACAATCACATTTTCCGGCGTTACCACGAAGCACAATTCACGTTCATCGGCGTTACCTCATAAAACGGCTTGAATCACATTTTTATTTTCAAGTTTCTATATCACAAGAGGTTGGGTTTATGTCACTTGCCTACCTAAAATCGAAATCATATTGAATAGTATGCATTGCTGTACTTATAAGAGCCGTCAAAAAGCCAAAATCTCCCTCAAAACGGTGGTCAAGCCATCAATTTCACGAATTATCTTGAAAAGTAAACAATTTCGAGGAAATAATCTTTATGAGGGATAAAGAGTTATGTCTTCGCAGTCGTATGCGGCTATTGCTTTTTTTCATTTCGGTTAAATGAAAAATATGTTGGCCAGTTTTCTGCATTGGAAATTCTGTCAGGTATCCGCCATTTATTGCTCAATTCTACGTTACTTATTGCACGAATCGTTCGTTATTTTCACATTCCGGCGTTACTGGATATACACGGTGTTATAGAAAAGGGATAATCTAGCATCTATACATTTGAGTTCCAGTTTTCAAAGCTTAAGGGAGGGAGTGAAACATGTCCGTGACGCTAGATGTCTGACCATAATCTAGCTTAATCTATCGGGATGATCTTCTTTGGTCAATTTGATCTACGAGGGATGTTCGAAATGTATTGCTTATTTCTATCTGGAGAATTCAAATTTAAAGTTAGCATAAAAGTGTTCATTTTATGGCCTCGAAGTACTCCCCGTGGCTAGAAATGCAAAGTTTCAGCCGATGTATCCACGTTTTGAAGGCGTCACGGTACGTTGATTTTGGCGCAGTAATAAGGTACAGATGAATGGCAGATCCAAGGGCCTGTCGGGACTCTTATAATTAGTTTTTGTCGTTATGAACACTAAATGAAAAAAAAAACTAAATGTGTAAGTAATTAATAGAACAAAATATAAATACAGGAGAAACATGTACATACCTCAAAGTAATGCAACCACCAAAAATACCCTAGTTTATTGTATCAATACATTATTTAATGAATATCAAACAAAACAATAAGCATTTCTATGTACTATTTATAATACAAAAGGTTATGCCCTTTGTTTCAATTGTATCATAGTTTGGAGACCTTTCTGTTGAAAATGTGTCAGGGTTAAATCGTATACATATACATGCACAGTGCGTTAACTGGAGTGCGGGTATTAGTTACCCGCACTCCAGAGCATGCCCATTGATTGGCTCATTTTTGCTGGGGTTTACATATTGTGACGGCAGAGAAAGGGAAAGCGACAGAAATGTCATATCCAGATGTTCGTTCATTGGTTCATTTTTGTCGGGGTTTCATATTGTGATACAGGGAACGTGCTTTTATGTTTGACTATGATACAAAAGAGAAAGAACACCAAAACACGAGGCTATCTGATTTATACTCGGGGCTACGCCCCCTTGTACAAATCAGATAGCCTCGTGTTTCGGTGCTCTTTCTATTACTTATTCAATTATTGTTAAGTTTCCATCAGCATCCTAGGCAAATGAAAATTTTCCTGAGTAACCTCTTTAGCTGGAAACCTCTAAAGATAACAGTGATATAAACCAACATTACAACCTTGAATCAAGTACCTCCTTAGGCCGGTGCCATGGGGTTCGTTATAATGATGTTACCTTTTTTGCGATTTACCACTAGTTGTTTTTGCATTCATAACAGAGAAATCTTCCCGTTCAAATAACCAGGCAATTGGAGAAACTATTGTTGATTTCATTTCTTTCAAATAACTGAATAAATATGACAAACATGCATTTGCTTATGCGTATATAATGGAATCTTTTTTTCAGAAAATATAAAATTACAACAAGTATGATTATCTAAAAAAAACAACAACAACAACAGAACAGAAAGTAAATTTATCGACAATTGCAACAGCAAAATGAATTGACATTCAAATAAAAGGTGTTAAAAAACGTATAAAGATTTATCACGTAATATTTTTTATGCAATAAGGAAACTAAACTTACACTCATTTTTGCAATAATACTCAAACTTGATAGAGAAAAATGCCATCAAAGGTTTTACTTTAACTTCAAAAGATCGTTTGTACTCAAACTATTTTATTTACTTCTTCTTTTTATTTTTAGTTTATAGAGTATTTTATTAAGGAGAAAGGAAAACCACTTCGGGTACTTAACCGAAATACTAACACAATTTCCGATTTATAAAGATAATCATCAGATATGAAACGTATACTCTAACTGATTTTATCTAAGATTGATAGTTTCATGCTTGATAATAAAGTATCCTCTGAAATGAGTTTAGAGGACAACATCTGTGCATATTACATATGATGTAGTTAGTCACGAAATATGAGTGCTCTGAATTCGTTAAAATGGATTTATTATCTTTTTGTTTGGGGGGGGGGTGCATATTCGTGGATTGGGAAATATTACTTCAATTAATGTATAAAATTAAAACAAACAGGTAAAATGTCTGTTTTTCTTTCTTCTGGATATTATAGTTTTAGAATTAAACGTGTTTTTATATCAAATTTGATATTTATACGTATTATTATATATTCAAACATTTATATCTTCATTCTTCCAAAGTTATTTGACAATACGATTTTTATAACATTTATAAACCGATAAGAATACATGTACTTTATGGTATGGTATATAGAAGTCAACAGCTTGTTGACCCGGTTTGTTTAAAGGCCAGTTTAACACTGTTTTAACCATTCCTATGAAAACAATTAGTGCCAGTCACTTCTCAAGAAAAGGGCAGAATACCTTTTGTAGGAAAAAAAAACCTACATGTTTATCCAATATTAAATGACATTAGTTTATAAAATGTTGAAAAATGAAACCCATAGATTGGCATATTGTTGAACAAGAAAAGACTATTAAGAATAATTTTATATTTCTACAGTCGATACCCATTTGTACATCATACAGTGGACTCTGCCATTTGTTATATAACTTGACGGAAACTGAATCGCACGAGGTTCTAAACAGTCAACAGCAGATTTGTAGATGTCTTGGTAGACCATGTGACACCGACTGTACAGACACCGGTCGATCCATCATCAAGGTCTTAAAAATGCAGGTATTGTAATACACGTGCGCTTTAAATTGTGCTTGTTCTGGTGAATACCAGGTTTATCTTACTAATACATGGTCAGCACTTAAGTCATGTTGCGATTTGTATTTATTGTTTTGTTTGTAAAAGCAGTCCGCTTGAATTACAAGAGCAAGTGTGATATGAAGCTTAAGATGTGGCATCGTATTTTATGTCGATGGTCTTATATTTGATTATTGTCATTTATTTAGATCGTTATGTTTCATTCTTGCATATAAACTGCACACTAGGTATACAATAACGGGGGCACAACATGCATCAACAGTTAGCTTCTCGTGACCACGCGCCATTGTGTTGGCGTAACTTAGTACGCGATGTCAAAACAACTTAATGCAATGACGGCCCCAGTAGTTTATTATCAAAATATAACTGACTAGCAAATAGAAAGCATCGATTGAGCAGATTTCATTATCCGAAATACAAATAAAGTAACCCGAATAACCGATTAAGAAGTATACTTTAATGCAAGGAAAACGCTAATGCACGTTTTTTTTTTTTCGTGCATTAACATCTGCAGAGGCCCTCTGATTTATAACATCCCTAGCCCTGCGGACCCGTCCTCATGCTTCTAATGCACAAAAATGTTACATGACCACACTATTGTACTATACACAAATAAAACAAGTGGTTGTTGGATCTGCAAAAAACACAAGTCTCATTTCTTTTAAACAAAAATTAAGCATTCTTCATGTGGTGGTTTTCAATACAATTTTGTCCACGGATAATTTTTAATTTAAAGTACATGTCTTTCGTTTATTATTCAGGACAGGAAGTTGAAGTTAAGAATCATTGTACGTTGCATCAACTAGACAAAGTTTGTCGGCAGAACGAGGTTGCCTTGATAACACGTGGCAGAGGGCCATTTACGTTTGAAATTGCAGACGATTTCAGGTAAACACTAGTCTTTCAGTACTGGTTTATTGAAAAGGGAATTTTTCAAGGGATTTGTTTATTACTACTAAAACTCAATTTAGTAGTATTTATTGTCAATAAATTTGTAAAGTTATTTCGAAAACATGAATGGAAACATTACATATCATTAGCGTTTTAGAAATATCGGCAAAATATAATAAAAAATAAGATGCACATGATTATTTTGAAGATTATTTTCAATAATAGGACCTAAGGTTGTAATATCAACTTTTTAGATATCTTATTTATTAATTATAATTGATTAACCTATATGTGTACATAAATTGTACATAAAATGAAACAACTGCTGTCACACTCCTCATGCTTCTATACGTTTACAGGAATGTGTCAGTGTTTCTATATAATGTTCAGCGAGCTATCATGCATAACATACCAATTGTCAAAATGTTTTGTGACTACGACTAAATTTTGCAATTAAGATAAGACAATAGGATGACTTTAAATTTATGCTTACTCATAATATTGTTCTTAGTGTGTAGTATTTAGAACTTTATCGCAGTAAATGTTTCGATGCTTCAGATGCCGTTGTTACAGACATATGTACGCACACAGGTCTTGGAGAGACGGGGATTATAACTATATAGAATACAGTTGTGGAAAGGTATGTTTACTCACGTAATATTAAATGTATATTTGATAGAAAACTTGCTCAGCTTAAACTGAAAATATTTATCATACTGAATGGACCTCTTTTAAGATAACAATTTCCTATTAAAATCCCTTAAAAAGAATAATGACTCAAGTTCACTCATAAATAGGGAAGTAATCATAAATAAGAAATTTATAAAAGATACCCTGTTAGATTAAAACTTGTATTCCGATAGGTATCAGATGGATTCTTTTTAACAGTTAAAGATAGTGAAACATATCGATATTATATAAATTGTATGTTATATTAAGACTAATAAACAGTACTTTGCAATTAAAACAATTTTAATTTCAGCCACGTTGTAGTCATAACCGAAGTCCAACAACAGACTGCATGAGAATTATGTACGACAGCTCGACGGACAGTTTTACGCATGATTATCTTTGTCGGTGCCGACGACATGAAGAATGTATTGGCGGACCTATTCCATCACCTTCACGACCTGAGACCATTCGAACATGTCAACGAATAACTCCAGCTGAACTTGACCGCCGTCGATCAGTTCGTCGGCAATACCGGAACATTCAACAACATTGAAGTTATTGAACATCCTCCGGAGTGCCAATTTTACGTATAAAACTCTTCAGTTCAATGTAAATTGATACATGTTCTGCTAGAACCATTGACTTGGGCATTATCAGTTCAGAAAAAAAAGTGGTAGCATACTTTTAAAATGTTTTCAAGGAATTTAGATGGTAATGTATCGTGACTATAACGATGTCAAATTGATAATGTCGCTTGTGACATAAGACACACTAGGTGTACAATTTAAATGACAAACACGGTCCAATAATAGCCTCGTTTTTAAGTTATAAATTCTATAGAAATTAAGATCCAGCCAAGAATCACAACGCCTTTAAAATGGTTTATAATTTTAGTTACAAACAATATTGCTACAATTTTAGTTGTTTAACAACACCATATAGAAAAGAAACCCCATATTAAATAAGACCGCTGAAATATTTATCGTTACAGCAAAAGAAAAAGAATGTTTGACACAGATGTACCAGTTATAATCATATAAGATGTAAATGTTAGATAATTTGTTGTATAAATTGTAGGTTAGATCTGTTCAAGTGTTGTTTCTATAGATATCTTGCTTCAATTTGAAAACATGGAGATGGTTGCAGTGTCTTTTTACGCCCTTGTAAATAAATACGTAGGCGTTATAACGCGATAATAGCGTTATAACACGGACATAAAGGAGTAATAACGCGAACCAAAAGGCGTAATATCGCAAAACGAAAGGCGTTATAAACGCTAATTTAATACCATATACATTCCTATCAGTGGCCTCGTAATGTAACAAAGGAAGAACAATGTTGATCAAAATTAATTTATCAAGATGTACGTTTTATTTTCAATTCTGTACTGATACGTCCTAAGGCCACAGCCTGATTTTTTTCTTTTATTAGGAAAATGCTTTCGTCACATTAGAGGTTACTATCACCCAACTATACAAATTTTTTGATAAAGACAAAGAAGACAATGTCTCCTATAACTGTATGTAACTTAACAGAAACACTTTCACCCTTCTAAACATACCTATCAATACTTAAGATATACTTTCACCCTAATGTGACTTAAGTATACCTTACGTTTTTCAAAACGTTATTACCTATAGCCTATTACCTTTAGCGTAAAAAGGAACGACATTCACATAATTAGAAGATACTAAAGGTTACTAAGTTATTATACAGGACATAATCCGTAGATAATTGAACATATGACGCACATATGAGATAAGATATAAGAAAAGAAAAGAAATTCATTTACCTTAGGGACATGTGTAAAATCAATAATGTGATACATGTGAATTCAGAGTAACTGTATTGACATATAACCCAATGGACCTTTAAGTTTCAAGTCACCTTAAATTGACAAATACCAAAGAGTCTTTATTAATTTATGACAAAAAAGTTTGCATTATTACTGTGCAAATGGAATGATAGTTATTGTAAATGTATATTATATTATTCTAAACGAGTTTATATCTTGAGCAATAAATTCAGATCAATATTGTTCTGTATTTCTCACGTGACTAGGCCATTTGATAAGTATAAATATGGTATTAAATTGGAACTTAGTGCGTTTTAATTTGCGTTATTACGCCTTTTGGTTCGCGTTACTACGCCTTTTTTTAGCGTTACTGCGCCTTTTGATTTGCGTTATTACGCCTTTTATTTCGCGTTTTCACGCGAATAAAGGCGTTATTACACCTTTTGATTCGCGTAATAACGCCTTATTTTTTGTTATTACGCCTTTTGATTCGCGTTAGAACGCCTTTATTCGCGTTATTACGCCTTTTGATTCGCGTTATAAAGCCTTTATAACAAAGTGACAGGGTGAGCTTTTGTGATCGCTTTTCGTCCGGCGTCCGTCCGTTGTCCGTAAACATTTACTCTAAATGACATCTCCTCATAAACCACTAAGCGAATTTCATCCAAACATCATAGAAATGTTCCTTTGGTGGTCACCATTGAAAATTGTTTAAAGAATTTAATTCCATGCAGAACTCTAGTTGCCATGGCAACTAAAAAGAAAAAAAACTTTAAATATCTTCTTCCAAAAAACCCAAAGAACTAGAGCTTAGATATTTGGCATGAAACATTTTCTAGTAAGTGTCTACCAAGTTTATTCAAATAAAATCCCTGGGGTCAAAACTGGCCCCGTCCCCGGGGGTCATTGATTTTCCATTTATGCATAAAGTAAAAACTTAAAAAATCTTCTTTTAAAGAACCCAAAGAGCTAGAGCTAAGATATTTGGCATGAAACATCTTCTAATGGGTGTCTACCAAGTCTATTCAAATAAATGCCCTGGGGTCAAAATTGGCCCCGCCCCAGGCGGTCATTGATTTTCCCTATATGCATATAGTAAAAACTTAAAAACTCTTCTTTAAAAGAACCCAAAGAGCTAGTGCTTAGATATTTAGCATGAAACATGTTCTAATGGTGTCTACCAAGTTTGTTCAAATAAAAGCCCTGGGGTCAAAATTGGCCCCGCCCCGGGGGTCATTGATTTTCCTTATATGTGTATAACACAAACTTTGAAAACTTCTTTGAAAAAAAAAACAAATAGCTAGAGTTTAGATACAAAGCATGAAACATCTTCTGGTAGGTGTCTACAAAGTTTGTTCAAATAAAAGCCCTTGGGTCAAAATTGGCCCCGCTCCGGGGGTCATTCATTTCCTTATATGTGTATAGCAAAAACTTAAAAAATCTTCTTTAAAAAAACTCAAATATCTACAGTTGAGATATTAAGCATTAAACATCTTCTAGTGAGTGTCTACAAAGTTTGTGTAAATAAAAGCCCTGGGGTCAAAATTGGCCCCGCCCCGGGGGGGGGTACATTGATTTTCCTTACATGTGTATAGCAAAAGCTTAAAAATACTTTTTGAAAAAAAACCCGAATAGCAAGAGTTTAGATATTAAGCATGAAACATTTTCTAGTAAGTGTCTACAACAATTGTTCAAATAAAAGCCCTGGGGTCAAAACTGGCCCTGCCCCAGGGGTGTCATTGTTTTAAACTATATGTGTGTAGTAAAACATAAAAATCTTCTTTTAAAAAAAATCAACGAGCTAGACTTAAGATGTTTAGCATGAAACATTTTCTAATGGGTGTCTACCAAGTTTGTTTAAATAAAAGCCCTGGGGTTTGAACTGGCTCCGCTCGGTGGGCCTATATACAGGTTAGCGACTTCAGGGCCATGATGGCCCTCTTGTTTCGCGTTATTACGCCTTTTGATTCGAGTAATTACGCCCTTTGACAAACAAAAACAAATGTGAGGTTAATTGACATATATATGAGCCGCGACATGACAAAATCAACGTAATGCATTTGCGACCAGCATGGATACAGACCAGCTTGCGCATCTGCGCAGTCTGATCAGGATCCATGCTTTTCTTTAACAAACATTTTAACAAGTAGAGAAACTGATAGCGAACAGCATGGATCCTGATCAGACTGCGCAGATGCGCAGACGTGTCTGGATCCATGCTGGTCGCAAACGCACTAAGTTGGTTTTGTTATAACGCGGCTCATATGCTGTTTAAGACTAGACTGGACAGTTGAGTAGATAATATGGAAAACGTTAATGTCAAACAATGCCAATTTAAAATGTTTAATGCATGTTTGGTTTGAATGAGCAAGTTCATTAGTTTATACAGAATTTATTTTAGTTCGATTGTGCAACAAGCTATTAGTTTACAGACACACTCCGTTCCTGGGATACTGCAGGATCATTATGTTTTTATTAACCCAAACTATATTGTGTAAAGAAAATGAGTGTGCCCGCCCTTTCATCCCGAATGTATCATATATTTTGATTAGTCAGTATCATGGCAGGCTATTTCATACTTGAACTTGTATGGCTCTTATTATGCTATATTTTGCGTTTGGAAATTCTGTATGCTTTGAGTAAAAAAACCCGACTCATTCAAAGCAAGTACCAGTACTACATACACACATTTCAGAAACTGCATTCATTATTCATGAGTAATCTTTACTTCAATGTAATTAAACAAAATGAGAATATACAAACAAATTTCCCTGAAAATTAATAGAAAAAAAAACACCATCATAATCATATCATCATCATAATCATTATTATTATTAATATCAATGGCTCTTGCAGCGGCTATAGCAGCGGTAGCAATAACAAGAGCAAAAACCAAAAAGAATACAAATAATGAAATTGGACATTAAACGCGTGATTATTTCTTGCACACCACTATACAATAAAGTCGGTGTACACAATAGTTCGATATTTTCTGCATTTCAAAACACGTTTCTTTTTATCTTTCTTGCCTTGAACCACTGTCATCATTTCTTCCTGCATCATTTTTAAGTTTGGGTGTTCTTTAAAGATTCTGTTTCTGATCTATTTTGTTAAAAAATGTGATCTTTTAAGCCAATTGGGAAAGTAGTTTGTGAATTCTGAAAACATAAAAAACAAGGAAGGGCGGAATTCAACGAACGCATCCCCGAGTACAAGATCACTGGCAAGGAACTCAGCATGACAACAGACAGAACAGGACGCAGGTCTAAATCTGCTTTGATTCTGCAAAAGGTTTAGTCTTTACTACAAATCGTAGACTATTTAATCATCGGAATCGTGAATTCTGGCTCTATTGGCAGAATGACCACACGTTTGAATAAATGACCAACTTTACGAAAATGTTGATATAAAATGTAATAAATATGGTGCAATTTCTCATTTTGTAGAAATCTTCACGGAATCAAATTTTGATAGAACTCCCTGTCTGACCGACAAAATGTGTGCCTCAACCAGGATAAATGATATCATTAACTTGTTGATACCAACTTTCTATCAGTCATTCAATAACAGATTGTTTGATGTATTCAGATCAAATTTGACAGTTTGTTACTATAGTCAGGAAACCATATACGGTAAACTATATATTTAAACTGTTGTTGACTAAAAGCACGGAAAAGAAAATGACCTGTGAACAAAATAAGAAAAAGACCAATCAACAAGGAAGGGGTGCATTAAATTAAAATATCTTCCCACACAACCTGCTGACACTTGACCTGCGTTGAGGAGCATTTTAATAATATATCCATATACACAATGTACATCCTGTTTTTTATTGCACCAAATACTGTGTTGTACAATCAATAATGTTCGACAATACAGACAGTAAAAATGTGAGTTATGTACTTCAAACATAAATCATTTTGTAAGCAGTATTTAAAGATAAGCAGGAAAATTAACTAAATCTTTAGTCCAAAATGACAGTCTTAATGCTTTTACAAAATAAGTTACATCACTATATAAATCATTTTGTAAGCAGTATTTAAAGATAAGCAGGAAAATTAACTAAATCTTTAGTCCAAAATGACAGTCTTAATGCTTTTACAAAATAAGTTACATCACTATGCGTCAGTTTATTCATGTAAGCGTCGTTTATGCAAAGTCTCGTCGGCAAAAATTAGAGCTGATTCTAGGGCCAGAAGAATCGGAATATGTAACCGATAATCTAGATGTGCATTTTTCGTTTCTGCATAATTTACAATGGGGTGTATGTTTTCTTTAGGAACTCCAAACATGTCGTTGACGATGTTTACAATTCCTTTAATTTTTTCACTATAGAATATGTTCGCTATGTTTTCATCTACGTTTTTATCCATCTTGTCTGCATGGGTCAAGATGACGATTCTTGGAACATCTGAAAAAGAAAACAACCATTGCCATCAAAACTAGGTATTAAAATATCTCGCAATTTGCAATTCCATCCAAAGAAATGTGACATTATGTTTTTTCTTAACCACATAAAATATTATCAATATAAACAAGAGTCGGTAGGACCTACTGGTGCTTCCCGTATAGGTTTGGACACAGAGAAGTAGTTTCTTCTTGAAATGTCAGATTCAGAGTTATTTCCGAGACAAAGTTCACATTGAAAAAAAGAAAATAACTCCTAAATTAGTTTGGCAGAGTAATGGTACTTGCGCTTCTACTTAATAAGATCTGGCTACCTACAAAATTTCTTGTTGATACCTCCTGTGGTTTCAGAGTTTTTCCCCGACAAATTTCAAAGTGTAAAAATGAACAAAGGACAATTACTCCAAAATTAGGAATGGCAGAGTTTTTATGCACTGCACTTCTACACAATAATATCTATCAACTAACTACGTTTCTGTAGTTTCATAGTTATGACACAGACAAAGTTTAGTGTAAAAATGATCAATGGCAATATCTCCAAGATTTGGAAAGGCAGAGTTTCGATTCATTTGCTCTTTTCTTTTTCACAATGAGATCTCTCGTATGTACCTACTAAGTTCCTTCTTGATACCTTTCGTAGATTCAGATTTATTTTTAGATAAAGTTCACAGTGAAAAATAAATGATGAACGATATCTCCAAAATTAGGTAAGGCAGAGCTACGGTTCTTTTGCACCACACTTCTACGCAATGAGTTTTATCAACCCACAAATTTTCTTGTTGATACCTCTTGTACATTCAGAGTTTTGTCCCGGACAAAAAAAGAGGACAGACGGACAGAATGACAGACAAAGTGGCGACTATATGCTCTCCGTTCGGGGAGCGTAAGAATAAATGTTATGCAGATATGTAGGGGCTACTAAAATCATCAATTTTTACCCAAGTCATTTAATTCGGTTAACAGATTTTGGATACTGTCTTTGAAAGCGATTTTGATTAACTCGCTTTTATTAGCAAACGTTGTCATGTCCAAAAGGATAATAACGCAATGGACTTTGTCAGATTCTTCTGGGGCGTTGATGTAGGAATCTGTGAACTCATTTTCTCTGTTATCTGTCTGAAACCCTTCATTTGTGAACTACAAAAATAAAGAAACCAACATACAGATTAAACATTATTTGTGGCACCTCATTTGTTTGGCCATAGCGTACAAAAATAAAATTAATTAATCACAGAACAAGTACACAATATAATATGAAAATTATTTATTAATGTATTACAAGCAATACAAAAGTCTCCTACTGGTAAGTGGCCATTCAATTATGCCATGAATGAACATTAAATCTGTTCAGCTCTTACTTTATCTGTATAAAAGTAATGTGTTAGGTTACTATGCCTTAAATAAGGAAAATATTTTACAACCGATAATCAAAACTTCTAATTTTCTTAAGATAAATAAGCATAACTATGGTTTCAACTTTTCTTTCTTTAAAGTAAACTTGTTGAAAACGTTCCAAAGTCTTTAAAAATTATCCCAGGAAACCATTTTTAGGGATGACCAGACCTACGGACTTAAACTTAAGAGGAGATAACTCTTGAAATAAAGATGCTAGACTTATGAACATTTTCATACATGATGTTATAGGTGACAAAGAACAATTATCATGTACCATTTATAGTAACAATGAAGAAAAGTGAAAAATAGACCATGTATAGCAACATGGAAGAAAACACAAAAACTAAAACAATCTTTCAAATGAATTCCAAGATGAAAATAGTCATTGAAATAAGGCGCTGATGAAGGTGTTAATAATGAACATATATTTGAAATTTAAAGTAAATCCACGAAGAAATAAGAGTTATAGAACAATAAGGGAAATTCAAAGTTAAGAGGGAGATAATTATGAAAATAGGGACGGTAGATATATAAACCTTCTCATATTTTTTATGATGCGGGGGTTTAAAGTAAATCATGTAAGAAATGAAGTAAGTCTGGGAAAAAAAACATAGGAAGAAAAGTAAAAGACAAACAATCTCCAGAATGCCATCTACCCATATTTTAAGTTTCATAAAATATTTTCAGTACTTTGCTTATTATGGGATCCAGTTTCGTTCTTAAACGGACGTTCTAACGGCACAGTTATAATGTTGCTACACTATTGTTATCTCTAATGTTCTTTTTAGCCACACAAAAGAAAATAGCCACATTAAAGCATTACGGAATGAATGACATCAAAGAGAAAAACAGTTACCTGTTGTCCCTCTAGCCACATTTTTACTGTCCCGTGAGAGGGAACCAACAGACAGACGGACGGACGGTAAAATAAATAGTGGACTAACAAGAAGGGGGGGGGGCATTCAATGAACGCATCCCAAACACAGGGCAACTAGCCAGAAAACCAATAGGACACCAAATAGGATAAGGTAAACCTGCGCTTGAAATACGCGTCACAGCAGCGTCCTGTGAACAATGCATTTCCCTTGTTGATCTTTGTTCTCTTTTTTTATAGATTAAATTCCATTTGATCTTGTGCTTCAGGTAGTTAAATGTTTATTATCTCCCAATAAACAGACTCAATTATATAAAGCAATTTTCATATAGTTTTGTTATTTTTATTACTTCACTGGGTTATCCCTTTTTAAGATGATTTTTAAGTACCATACAAATTGTTCCATGCTTACGACATTCGAATTTTACTTGAACATATAATTTTTCATATTCAATCAAACAATCGGTGGCATTAGAGAGATTCTGTTGTAAAAAAACATGCATTTTGTACACCCTACCCTTGTACCTCAAATTTCTGATTCTATCTCTTTTGGGATTTATTTCGGAATATGTTTCTTTAAAACTGTAAATTGACGTTATTACGCATGCCTAGCTCCTACTTTGTCAGCTCTTAAGCCAGCCATTGGTTGCCTTTATAGGTGTATTATTTGGGTGGCTAGGTTATGTTGGAGCTAATTTCTATGAACATCGCCAAAAATGAGAAAATAAGAATCCTTAAAGAAAGTTCAAAACGGCAAAAAATATAAATGTTGCAGGATTAGTTTGAGTACGCCCGCCTGTTCAAGGAAGGTTCTGTCAAGTGCAAACTATAATCCACGCCCCAAAGCGCCAGCTTATTGCACTGGAAAAATTGAAAAAATTAACTTAAAAATGGTGAAAGTTTGAAATTGAGAAATATAGGCAGAGATGTTCATACGGCGGTTATCATTGAACCTTGAGCGTGACACTTTCGTGCCATTAAATGAAAAACGGCCTATGGTCCCAATATAGACGATAGCTTGTGTCCTAAACGGGAAAACAAGGCTAAAAATAAATAAAATTTTGAAAAGGGATCAGAAATTATGAAGCCTGCATATCACAGATACGTAACCAAACTACAGGCAACATATCTAAAGAGTGATTCAAAATTATTTAAGTAGGAATATTTGAACCACCCAACTAGAAAAAATGCCGAAAAGTTAAAACTAAAAGTACCGTAAACTTAACAATAATTTTGTGTTGAACTATCGTCAAAAATCGGAAATATAACATAATTATATGAGTGTTAAAAATGGTTAAGCCTTTTTTTTGATAATTCTCACTTTTGTTAGTATATAAGACTATTGAAGAGCAGAATATGTTTGGGTTTTGTATTGGGTTTTAATTCGCACCAACACAGTAAAGGTCCTATAGCAACTTCCAGCAGAAGACCACAGATACCTGTCCTTGTATTATTTGTGGCACAAGCGGGCACCTGAGTATAACCAACGACGTTCCGTAACTTTGCTGGATAGATTATCTATCTAAGATAGCTTCCTCACAAAAAAGAATTTCACGTTCTTGGTGATATTCGAACCATACTATGAAAAGCGACTGATAATTCCCAAGTGTGCCTTTAACGACAAGAAAATAATGACGGACATATTGCATATAAGCTGTCAAAAGTCAGATTTAACAAGCAAGTATTGCAAACATTTCATAAGTCCCCTACCAGTTAGACCCCAAGCAACATTCTGAAGGGCTATTGGCCATTGAATTATGCAAATGAATGAATGACCTAAATGAACTTCAATCTTTTGAGTTTTAAGTTTGTAGTAATCTGTTAAGTTTCCCTGCCTAGTAAGGAAATTACTTTATACAGCAGTTTCTCAGGATGAATATGTGTAACTTATATTTCGACTGAGAGTACAGTTACCTTCCTACAACAAAAGTTTTGGATTCCTAATATACGTAAAAAAGTGTGGTCAATAATACACTAGTGTATCTGCAGAAAAATTGCTGGCAAACCTTATCATATCCCCAACGCCCCACCATTGCTGAAGGATAGAATACAGGCAGGATTACCATTTACAGTGACAGGTGTTGACTTTTCGGGAGATTAAGATATAAAATGTAAACACGGTTTTATCATAAAGGCATATATTTGTTTATTTACATGTGCTAAAACAAGAGCAGTACACCCGGAAATTGTACCAGATATGAGATTCTTTCATGGTGTTACGAGCCAGGCGTAACGAGAAAGAAAAAGCCAGCAACAAATTTTTAACAATAACAAATTTATTACAGAAAAATTATTCAAGAAAAATTAAATAACAAATTATGTTTACAAATACCTGTCCAAATAAAAATGAAAACTCAAATGTCTAGTCTGATCCTGGAATGATCCTTTTTTTTAATAGCACAGTTAAATCCAAGTAAAATCCAAGAACACTTTAGATAAATTCCCACAATAAAATCCACAAGAATAATTTTAACTGTTTTAAAATAATCCAAGCTCCAATAAATCACTTAATTTCCAAGTTCAATAATACTCCAAATATATTGATGACTTAAAAGGTAACTGATGACTTAAAAGATAAAGGTAATGAAAAATGTCCCTTTATATATATTAACTAAGAAAATTCCAGAAAAGTCTATTATCTTCTACAGTAATCATAATCTAGCAACTTCAACAATAAAGAACATTCCGGAAGTTTCTATCTAAATATAATGCCTAAATCATAATCTAGTATTTTCTACAACAGTTAAGAAGGTTCTAGTACATACATGTAGTTTATGTTCTAAAAATAGATCAGTGATAATACTATATACATATAATATTTTGCATACATAACAATGGTAACCTTTCGTGATTTATCAGTAGAAAATCAACACCAAAAAATTGATAACAGATAATGCACCAACTTACATCGCAGCCGCTTACTTTTTGAAAACCCAATGTAAAGATTATGGCATTATTTAGAAGTTCATTCCACCACGTGCCCCTTGGTACGGAGGCTGATGGGAAAGGTGAATTGGATTGGCTCAAACATGTTTTAAGAAGGTACTATGAAATCTTTTCTAAGCCTCGAAGTGCTACCGAAATTGAGTATATCTTTTATGACCGCCGCCTTACATACGTATCATCGGATCCATTAGATAAAGACCCACTAACAACATCCCATCGTCTATTAAGTCGAAGAGGAACTTCCCTTGCAATTCCAGACGACAGGTCTTCTTTTGTTTCTAATGACCCTTACCAAGAGTCAGTCCAACGGTTGGCAAACTTAAATCAATAACATTACAACATGTTTGAGCCATATGGAAGAAGGAATAACTCACATCCCTCAAAGAAAACTATAAATCATACAACTATAATCAAAACATAATAGGAGATATTGTGCTTATCCAGGACGATAGTACCAACAGAACGAAATGGTCTCTGGCAGTTATACAGGACCTTTTTACTAGCGGAGATGGATTGATGACAGTACATTTATTGCAATATCCCACATTATAGAAATGTTCATGGAATCGAATTATAAGTTAAAAAATAAACAAAATGAGCTGCCTTTCAGTTAATATTTGTATTTAAAAGTATATTAAATGTTCCCCTATTGGCATAAAAGGTAATTGTAGACCCGTGTGATAAAAAGTTACAACATCAGCACCTCTTAGAAGTATACTTATTTATAGTTATTTATAAAAGGATACACTCTTGATCATTGAGGATATTTTGTATGAGTAAAATTATATTTCTTAAGAATGGTATGTTTTAAAGGAGAAAGCCTAATGAGTAAAGAATTATTGAACATATTTTGCAGACCGCAGAAAATAAAACAAATAAATAGATTAAAAATTTAAAGGCAAAGAACGACAAATGGTTTTTG